GACTAATATATATATTATTTTTTTTTTTTTTTAAGAATTGTAAATATTTTAATTATAGTAATGAAAAAAAAAACTAAATTCTTAATATTATTTATAAAATTTTATGATTACGATTAAATAAATCTTTCGTCATGATTTACGAAAGAAACATGTTTTAGCATAAAGGAAATTTAGAAATGTAGAATAAGTAACATATTTTTGCATCTAAATGTTATATTCAATCTTAGTACTACAAAATGGAGACAGCAGAAACAATTAAATTCTATTAAGTTGCTTAAAATGAGGTATATTGAAATTTTATTTATTACCATTCTGCCTAAATTTCTTTGTTTGTGAATTTTTTTTGTTTATGTTATATATAATTTCTAATTACTCAGATGAAGCAAAGTGCAATATTCAAAATTTGTCCATATACAAAGTCAAGAAAGATAATTCCATTTCCATCTTTTTCAACTTTTTCTAATTCGTCCATAAATGCTAATGATTGTTCTACAAATATATTAGAGTGGACTCGTAAGTTGTTTGGAGTAAAAATATTCTTTATCACTTTTCGATGTGAGCTCCATAAAGATACTGAAATAAATAAATACAAAAGAATAATTAGGAAAAAGTTATTGACTCGTTATATAATATTAACCGCTTTCCTGTGAGATTACTGGGTAAATATAATAATACTGTTCGAGTCAGGGCCAGATGTATGATTTTGTGGCACCTAAGCTATGATCTTAAGGAGGCCCCCTCTTATTAACAAAAAATACATTTTTAAAAATCTTTTCTATACTAAAAAGGCCCCCTTATAATGTGAGGCCCCTAAGCTGTAGCTTATCTAGCTTATGTGTAGATCCGGCACTGGTTCGAGTATACTCGGGAAGTGATTATGAAAATAATAAAGATAGCACAGAAAAGATCAAATTCCACAAGAGATTTACAGTCTTACTGTGGAATTTGATTTCTTCTATATATATATATGGAATTTGATATTTTCTGTGCTCTCTTTATTATTTTCATAATTTATGTATAAATAATATTCGCTTATTGTGTAACTATTGTGTTATAAACATAATGCTAAATGAATAGTATATCAGAAAGTTTTTATAATTACTTTGTTATATGAACTGAATTAAATATTATTTAGAGTAAGTAATAACAATTAATTAAGCTTTGTTCTTGAAATATCTTACCAGGAGATGTGATAAGTCCTGTTTTCAATAATGGTTTAAAAATTTTATAAAGTGAACTTTTCTCGAAACATCTACTTTGCAGAACAGCCTAAAACACAAAATTAAAATCTATTTATTAACGTTTTTATATCATATTAAATATGTATATTTATTTATGCTATTTCCATTATTTACATATACTTTAGAAAATTATTTTTATTATTTAAAGTAAAGTATAAAAGTTACACACACAATAAAAATTTATATTATTTAATATTGATAATAATAAATATTTTTTATGTATATGTTTATAGAAAATATTTATTCTATATAATACATGTTTGTAGAAATCATACGTTATTCTTTTACCTTTATCTGTTCTCCGTCATATACACCGATATATGCAGTATTACCAAACCGAAATTGGAGATGAAAAATCATTCGCTAATATATTTGCAACTTGTATAATTTCTAAAAAGAACTTTTTTATTACTTAAAAAAATATTTTTCTTTTATTTAAAAAAAAAATTAACTGATTCTATATTAATATTAAATTCCATATGTTCCATAAATTAATATATATTCCATTTCAAAGAAATTAATTTAAAAAATTCTTTTATTATAAAATACTGAACAATAAAATAAAAGTGTACGATTCATTATAAATGTTAAGCTCTTTGCATAAACATAATCAACGCATAAGATGATTCTGTAACTTGATTTATCGAGCGGTAGAGAAGAACTATTCTTGTTCATGGAAATATATTTAAAAAATCATATTATGATCTTTACAATAAAAGAAAAATAGTAAGTCTTAAGTCGCAATGTTATAGTAAAAATTTACTCAATATATATAATAGTATGTAATTATATTATGCAGTACACAAATTGCAAGTGTAGATATGCATTATGATTAAATAATGTAAGCAATTTTCAAAATTTTATTGTTGACTTTTAAGAAGTTTATTCTCCTCTAGTAATTGTAATTAATTATTAAGATAAAATTATTAATTACAAAATTGTAACGCAGATATATTTAAGTAAAATACTGTTCTCTGAAATTTAATTTAATGTTAATTCTTTTACTTTTGTACATGAAGTGTTTTTGTACATGAAGTATATTATAATTTATTATTACCTGTAATATTTACTCCCAAAAAATAGAGAGCACTTCCAATGAGTGGATATGTTTTCGGGTCTGGCAAAGTATTAATTTTTTTAATAAAAGATCGATGCCAGAAATTCGATAAAACGTAGCACATTTCAAGACAAATTAAAGTTGCTAATGTAATAGTTGCAAACATAGTTGTACTTATTTTTATAACAATAATCACATTATTCACAAAAAATAGAAAGATATTAGTTGGCACTGATGTTACTGCTCGAACTGTAAACACCACTGAAGTTATTTCTTTTTGCTTTCAATATGCACTCTGACGAGAGAAACGGTAGTAGAAGCATTTATAGTAAGACACAAGGTCAACAGAAAGAAAATGGGAGTGGCTTGAATTTATGCAAAGGCAGGAGAAAAAAGTAAAAATAATGGTATTTAGAGATGACATTCTACAGACTGCAGAATAAAGGGGAATAATTGATTTCCGACTGGATACCCATATAGCACAGTGAATTCGCAAAGTATTCTTTAAGTTTTCTTTTTTCCTAAATTGTAATTCTTTGGGAATTCATAGAAGAATACTATAAGAATGACTCAAGAAGTTACATGCACTATAATTCGAATACTTGAAAATTTCTTCGAGTATCCATATAGTATTATTCTATACCAATAGATATGTATACTTTATGAAATCAAAAGGAATAGTTTTAGAATAGATAAAGGATTACAAAATACTTAGTAAACACTAACTAATAGTAACATTACACCAATATTACAATTTCACTCAATATCACTCAACAATGTAAATGCACTTAATATGTTGTATATAACAATTATATTGTTGAGTGGCGAATTATAACATTGATGTAATGTTATTGTTAGTCGATATATTTAGTAGATATATTAGTAACAATTATTAGAAATATATAATAAGTAAATCCAATTCAACCGTACTTACCATTCAATAAATTGTCCGTTGATTTTTATAATATATCGCCTTTTTGCCTTTTATAATACAACACATATGTCTTTTGTTTATGCAGAAAAAAATATCGCACTTAATGCTGGTAGTACACAGTGTGACACGAGATGCACAGAGCGTTTCGCGCATCGCATGTATACGGTTCTCGCTTGTGTGCGCGGAGGCCGCAGTAAACGCATCTAGCAGCTCTGGTCGAAATTAAAACAAATAAAATACTTTTAATTCCTCATGAATTCTCGAAGTATTTAAAATACTGAGTCGCATAGTATTTATTATAATGAATTTTTATAATGAATATTTCAAGACGAACTAATTGTAGTTAATTCTTTTAGAATTCTTCAGATATTTATTTTATAAATTTTATAAATTTATTTTTCTAATTCTGTATGTATTCTTTAAAATAAATTCTCTATAAACTTCTATTTATCTCTGTGCTATCTGGGTAGCTTCTGAGAAGGTTTCTTCTTCTTAGAACAGTTATTAATTGTGATCTACTAACATCGGTTAAATTAAACTAACTCTCATACAGCATGCATATCCAAAAGATGTTCAGAGGACATCCCGAAGATATCGTATCTCTCAAAGATATCTTCAGGATGTCCTCTGAATATCTTTCGAATATGTGTGCTCTGTAGGCTAACATCATTGAATAACAATTTTTGCGCAAATAGTTTTTCCTGTTACTTAAACTAATCTATGCATTCTTTTTTATTATAAATTTATATTCATGTTACAATGTCTACAAATAGCCGGCGTTGTATTGAGGTACGTGTTGCTTAGCTTATTTTGTGACGTTTAATTTTCAATTTTTAATTTCGTGACATTTTAATTTTTGACTCTTTTTACATTTCACAAGGTTTGACATTTGTGATTAACCGGTTCAGCTAGCCTATTCTGTAACCTTAACGATATCGTTATAATATTGTTGCGCAGGTTTTTTGCATCATATAATAGCTGCGTTAAGATTACAGAATAGGCCAGCAGGACGGGCGTACTATATATTTATAAAAAAATTTATAAAAAAAGCTTTTAAAAAAAAAGTAAAAAAACGGCGCCAAGTACACGCTCTTGTCACAACTAAAATAAAACATGTTTTACCTTTCAAAAAAATTGTCGTATATATTAAACTTTTCAAAAAAACTTGTCGTATATATTAAAATCTTTCAGAAAAACTTGTACATATTAAAATTTTCAAAAAAAGCTATTATATATACTTTCTACAAAAAAATATGATATCAAAAAATGGCACCAAGTGGAACTAAAGAACTATGAAAAAAGTTGTTACAGAATAGGCCAGCAGGACGGGCGTACTATACAGGGTGTTCCATTTTAATGTCCCACCCTTAATAACTTTGTAGAAATTGGTTTTAGCAAAAAATGTTTCAAACAAAAGTTGTTGGGTTTAGAGGGGGACATCCGATGATGATATTGGTTTAACCTAGGGTGTACATGCCAAGGTCATATAGAGGTTAACTTTGTTTTTTTAAATAGAACACCCTATTTTTGGTTTCAAAATCTAATAGCTGGTGTCAAGAGCTTTTCAAAACACTATAATAAAGTTATTTTTTATTAAGTACTTTTCGAGTTATGAGGCTTGTAAATTACAGTATTTTGACATAAAATATAAAATATCTTGTAAAACATTTAGTTTTTGAGAATGTTACCTTAAGGGGGTTATTGTGGTACAATGCGCCTCAAAAATACAGTGCCGCGAGCTGCGCGCGCCTGGTTCCCATTGCGTACTTCTCACTCTTCTTCCGAAGCTTAGTTTTTGTAACTGACTGTCTGTGCAAAAGCGCTAGTGTTTCGTCTGTGTATACACACACTATCAATTGCGTAAGAAAATAGTGATCCGGCAACAACGCACTTTTAGTTGTTCACTTTTAGTTTTTCTAAAGAAGATTTATGTATTAAGATGATTTATTTTTAATTAAATTGTTTACGTATGTATATATTATATATATATAAATAAATAAAAAAAATATAAAATAATATAAAGATCTTAAAAAAATGATTAAAATATATATATATATATATATCTGTATATGTATGTATTTTAAAATATTTTAATCATTTTTAAGATTTTTATATTATTTTATAATATATTTTTTATTTTTTTTTCTGATCTACTCTATACTTATGCCTATATTAAATAAATAAATGTCTTCATGCGTGATTATTTAAAATTCCTACATGTTTTCTGCCGCGGAAATCTCACGTGTCGTCGGCCAGCAGTCGCAACGTTGCCACGTCTTGGTAGCATGTAACGTCTAATTTTCTGTGTTTTGAACTTTAAAACGCAATATTTTGGAAACCGTGAAGCTAAGCTTCCTGAAATTCAACTATAGTATAGTGACTACAATCCTTAATAACATATTAGTTTTTAAAAATTCTCCTAAATTTTGTTTCGACGCTATTGTTTAAAATATGCCTTTCACAACGATCCCTCCATAAGATTCAATATTAAAACAACTTTGAGAATTTATATCTCGATTTCGGTAAAGCTGAGTCCCTGAAATTTTGACATGTTGTACATAATAATGTTATTTATACATGGTAATTTTTTCAAAATATTCTTAAATTGTTGAAAAATTGCGATAACCCCTTTAATACTTTTATGCACAAAATAATGAGACAAATGAATTGATATAAAGAAAACACATTGGTTTTAAAAAAGTATGCAGTTGCATGTTGCAAATTACATATTTTTTCTTGAAAGCAACTATGTGTTTTCTTTATACCAATTCATTTGTCTCATTATTTTGTGCATAAAAGTATTAAGGTAAGATTCCCAAAAATTGAATGTGTTACAAGATATTTTGTATTTTATGTCAAAATGCTGTAATTTACAAGCCTCATAACTCGAAAAGTACTTAATAAAAAATAACTTTATTATAGTGTTTTGAAAAGCTCTTGACACCAGCTATTAGATTTTAGAATCAAAAATAGGGTGTTCTATTTAAAAAAACAAAGTTGAGCTTTATATGACCTTGGCATGTACACCCTAGATTAAACCAATGTCATCATCGGATGTCCCCCTCCAAACCCAACAATTTTTGTCTGAAACATTTTTTGTTAAAACCAATTTCTACAAAGTTATTAAGGGTGGGACATTAAAATGGGACACCCTGTATATGTGCCGGTTATTATGAAAGTGGCCTAAGTTACAAAACCAAAAAAAATGAGATTTTCATTTGTATTATATTATATCAACTATATTTCATTATTATAAAAGAATTTTTGCAAAGTTACCATGAAATAAGCAATAAAATGGAGTTGTCATTTTCATTATTATCAGAGGTGTAATTGCATGCTTATTTTGATAGTGGCATAAGTCATTTTTTTTCTAACATTGCGATAGAAAAAGTAACATTATCATAATTTTCAACATATTTTTCTATTATGTCGGCAGACAGCGGCTTAAATTTAACTTTACAAAAATATTTCATATTTATTTATAAATGTAATATCAATAATGTAAATAATGCTTAATATAATTAAATTGCCGTAATAATTTTGCAAAACATTAAATTACTAATTGAGGTTATTTTGATCGTTGTGTGTTCATAGACTTAGTACCACGAAAAAATGTTTGCAAGAAATGGAAAGGGATAAAATAATAATTTCAAAAAATAATTAATACAATTAAAATAGTTAATACAATTCTAAAAGTAAATAAATTTGTTTTTTTTTAAGTTATTTTATCAATTAAATTTATTAATTTTTGTTATGGTAAATCATCAATTAGGACTACTATTAATTTTGAAAGTGGCATAAGTCATTCAACGGTTAAAAACACAGTTTCGTGCAAGTTATTCATAAAATTTAATGATCTTAGATAAATTTAACATCAGGAGAACATTATAATTTTTGATAAATTTTGCACCATGATAAAAAAATATTTTTAATATGGTCAAACGCAAAAGTTTGAATATCTCGAAACGAGAAATATATGACTTAGACCACTTTCATAATAACCAGCACATATACAAAACCTGTTACATCAGATGATGATAGCAGAATATCAGCAAAAATGTTACAAAACCTGCTGACATAATTTGACAGCAGATCAATAGCAAAAACCGAGCAGGATTTGCTCGGAATTATTACAGCAGATTGGCGGCAAAGACCGAGTAGGACCTGCGCAACGCAGTTTAATGTCAGATTGACGGTAGAAATCGAGCAGCATCTGTGCAACGCAGTTTGATGTCAGATTGACGGCAGAAGTCGAGCAAAATCTGCGCAGTGCAATTTGATGTTGCACCACCGCTATGCGGCGTGTTTCTTCATATATAAACTCGTATTCAAGATTCATCTACAGTGCATATAAAAGTGTGGTCAGTGGCTTAATTAAGCTTATCAGTTTAATACAATAATCTGATACAATCCCCATAGGAGATTCAGAATATTAAACTGATTTTTGAAATTGAAAATTCGCCGCGATTTGACCCGATATTGCAGTGATTTGGCCTAATAAATTTATTAAAACATAAGTACTTTTTTTGTCCCAATAAAGCAAATATATATTACATACTTTGCATACCTCATTTACTACTTTTAATAAGCAAAACGAGAAATGTAAAATTGTAATGAAGCATTTAAATGCCGCTATTCCATTTAAATTGTGATGGCAGGTTCTGCTCGATTTCTGCCGACAATCTGACATCAAATTACACTGCACAGATCCTGCTCGTTTTCTGCCGCCAATCTGCTGTCAACCTATGTCGACAGGTTCTGCCGGCAAAACACGAGCTTAATACGGACACAGATGGCACCGTATCTGTTGCCAAGTTCTGAACGAATCTGCTCGCAAACTGTCGGCAGGCTGCTAACATTTTGTTGACTGGGTTACTAATGTGCAAAATGATGGAAAGCGGGTAGGCAGGCACGCACGCACATATATAAACATCCAAATCTATTTTTTTATTAAAATCTTTATTTTCTGTGTTTTGTAGCGTTTTCCTAAACAATAATTAACGTAACTTAACGTGAAATTGTGGTATGTGTGAGAAAGAGAGAGAAAGTATAATGGTCGATATATTAGTTATGGAAACTTTCACTCAATCTCTGTAATGGTACGATATACAAGTGGAGCAGATTTAAGATACGTAGAGAGTAATCTTAAGATTATAGATTGACAATGAGACGACGCGACCGATTAACAAAAAATTAATCGATCTCTCCGTTGACCGATGAGTCATTTACGCAAGTACGCAGACAGAGTAGAGACATAAGTTAACTTATGGGCTTAGACTCGAGGAATATCGTCCACGTCGAAAATGTAACAGCATCCGAGAGAATGTTGCCGAAGAGAACGAGAGGCGAGACGAAAAACTATATAATAAAAACTAAAAATAAAAGAAACCTCAAACGCAGTTTCTCTCGACGTGCACAACACACGCTCCTTCGATCCGAAAGTCTATACCCTCGTCAGAAGATGTTATAATATGAAAGTTAAGTTATACCATATAACACGATACACAAAGTTGTTTATATCCCGAATATCAAATGGATACGATCAAAATACCACGGTTCAAGCGAAACAGAGGGCATCACTTCTGGTTGTCTTGATAAGAATACAGTTCAGTAACCAGGTACTGTGTGGGTGTAATCATTTTTATATATATGCTTATGTCACGTGTCATTTATCAGGCTGCGATTTTTTTTTATGTTCCACGTGAACCGGGTTCTCTTCCTTTAAACAAAAAAACAAAAAAAGAAACATTTCTCCGTTACATCGATCATTTGTGTTTACCCAACACATGATAAATTCATTTTTAAGGATATCTACATTAATAATCAATTGTGGAAAATAAACAAATTGGAAGAGACTTTAGACGATTATTTTTGCCACAAATACATTTTGGAATCGGATGTGTTTTTATCCACTTTCCTAATTGGCACTAATTGCCCTCGTACAAAAATTTTAAGAATAAATTTTACGATGCTCCACATTCACAAATATAAAGTCACATTCAATGCGAATAAATTGCTCGAATATCTCTTATTATCATGCTCACGAATCGAAGTCTCGCGTAAAAGACGCATTTTATAAATGTAACATGGAAGAGAAAAAGAACATTCAAGTTCTATTTTTATCAGTCTTCGAATAGAAAGATCGCTTCGAATATAACAAAAATTTGATGGACTATGCACCACTGCACGTAATCTAAAGATTTGAGAAATGCATTCCACAATTGTGTAACATCCGACTAATTCAAACTTGCACGTGGTACGATAGGCGCACATTTTTTCATCGGAATAAAGATAAATTGTTTCGGAACGAATCTTGAATCATCTGTTTTCTGATGCATCTGCGTCAATCGTAGTATCTCATTTATTAAGTGTAATTAGTTCGAACTAATCACCTGCAACATACCGACTTCACATATCGGCTCCGGGAGTTCCGAAATCGTTACGAATACCGACAAGAGAATGTTACAAAGAAACAAAAAATCTTAACGATATTTGTAGCAAAAATATACATGTCACATTGCTCCCCGCGATCATACACGATTACATTACAAAAAAAAGAAGAAGAAAACTTAACAGACGACACGAAGAAAGTTTTGGCAAAGAACGTAACGTTTAACTACGTCAAACAAATTACTAAGTGTCAAACGGGCGCGGCTGTACAAATTATAATACCCACTGACAACGAAGTCGATGATCGCACACCTATACTTAAGAATCTATTATTTATATGACGATACTGCTCAATATGATTTGCTCACAAACGAGTTTAACTGTACCGCGAACAAAACTTATAGTCACCCACGCTACTCGATTCAGTTATATCAATAATTGTGTGTATTGATACATTGTACATGCGTTATTGCCAATAACATATGTACTGCTCCATCTTCATACGATCAATAGGCGCCTCAGGTATATTCTTTCATCCTAACGAGAGCAAACGCGGTAAATACTCAGATATGCGATATTATTAAATAATATTATCAAAGTAAAAATATCTGAAACAAAATCCCTGAAACACATTTGTTCAATTAATCGTTACTTGCTATTATTGATATGTACAACAAAATAGATTTTTTCACCTTTATAGAAATATTCGTTATTGTGGTTGCTTCAGAAGCTATGTAGTTGTTGAAATTACGTAGGAAGATGAAGCACAAGGAACAGAATATATATGTATATGATGTGTGTATGAATGCGTATATATGTATATGTACGTGTGCATGCGCGCGCGCACGCGTTTTTGTTTGTTTGTTTATTTGTTTGTTTGTATGTATGTATGTATGTACGAAACAAAGTTCTTAGATACTTAGAAGTGCAATACAAATTCTAGTATTGAAACGGCTACCAATCAATGATTGCAATTTTACAATTTCACAACTTAACTTCGATGCCGTAATGCAAAAAATGCATTTAACAATAATATATAATTTTTATGAAAATGGATATTCGGGTATTCTTCACGTACAATTGATGGCAAAAATTAGATTTACTAAAAGTTATAAACATTGCGATTCGTTATTAATTCTAATGGACAAATTCGCTTTAGAAGCGTATACACAACACTTTGGCCATTTACTCCTTGCACAAATGACAATTGATTATTATCGTGTGCATAAAATCACCTGAGAATCGTAGTTTCTATTGTAACTGTCACTAATTTCAAATTTGACTACTAACGATTCTTCAAAAACAAATTTGTACATAAGAATTATATAATTGTCAAATAATATTTAACAAAAGCATTTGTTGTTAACACGCTAATTGCCGTGCTCCGTCAAACCTCACACATTTTTTGCAAAGCGCTATGCCACGCTATGCCGCTATACTTAATCCTCCGGTGTGTTTCGTGAACCTTAAAGACCCACCTATGATGATATGTGAGAGCTATTTGGTGAATAAAAAGACAAACAGTTGTATAAATTTACGCTAATCTTTATACACAAGTTGCCCAGTTTAATAATAGAACAAGTCACTTGAATGAACAACGTTTAGAATGACTAGTCGTTCAATGTCATAAACATTACACGATTTTTACTCTTTCCGTATTATATTTAGATGTCACTGTAATAAGGATAAATTTCAGCCAATTTTGCATCTTCTAAGTAAAAAAAAATCTAATCACCGAGTTCATTGTGCATTCTTCAAATAGACTTGCCATTATTGTAAAATAGACGTTATGTTAGCGATTATTAGAACCAACAGCTGTTGCGAAAGATTACCAAGAAAGGTTGCCAACAAACGTTTATAAGTATAATACTTATTAACAATTGTATAATACTTGTTATGTAAATAGTTATTAAATTACAGCAGCTTGTCTCTTTACTTACTGAACAGTCCTCATTATAGTAGAAAATTATGCATCGAAAGATTAAAAACGATCAACTGCGGCCTCGTGAAGAAATAAATAACTTTCGCTCGGCAATCAACGTTTGAGAAAATTATAGCTTGCGTATGTGGACACAATATGTCGTTTCATGTCATCAATTGTGTCATACTGGAGATAATAGAAATTAAAACAAATAGACTGAATGAAACACACAACCAAAACCATAAGCTCCGATCGTATTTTGTCCTCCAATAAAAAGACTCTAAAGAGTACTTGCATTATGTACATCTATACAACTTTCAAACCCCTACACTCGATTGGATATTACAATGGGATATACGATATATAGAAGATATAAGCCATCCCGATAACATCGCAAAGAAAAGATTAACGCAAATTTTCGCGATATTCACTACTTTAAGAAAGAAAATGTATAGTTCTATGGCACCTATGTATATTTAGTACTCGTTTCACCCTTTCTATACAAAAGATGAAAAGCCATATTAATTACTGTACCGTGTACAATACAAGTATTATATAAGGCTCTATTTCATCTAATCCACTAATGCTACGAAATATGCTATTTGCCGAATGTAAAAAAATATTGCTTCTTGTGTCAAAAATCTGTCTTAATTGATGTTGACAAAATTAGTTTTACAAAAACTTATTTAATTGCAAGTCTGAAAAGTTTGCAGAAACTTTTGCGACTTTTATGATCGTACTCTCTAGAGCCTCCCGATGTATAAAGTATGTCTATCCTTTTATATTCTATTTTGTCGTTTTTTTTTTTTTTTTTTTTTTCCTAAATAGTTTGTCGAGAAATGCTTTGGTTGTGCGCTCGCATAATTTGGATATCACTTGTGAAATATCTGTGACAAAGGATTTCAAGGACAACAGTGATATCCACAATTTCTTTAAAGAGATGCATTTCTGCTACTCGTTATTCGTTTACTCATAATGTCAGAGTACATAAACAAAGAAACATAGCCTTGTTATTGAATTGCACAGAGAATAATCATTGTTTTATAAGAGATAAAGAATGCAATATTCTTACGTTGATAAGACGATAAAAGAAAAACTTAAAAATCTCTTCAGTATTATATTAATCTAAAATGCTATCATAATCTCCTCCCGTTAAAAAGACAGGAAGCACGATTGCGCAAACGCATTTTTCAGAACATTTATACTGTTTCGCACATATGTATCGTCGCAAGAAATACCAAAAATTACTATGTTATAATAATATAGTAATGATCGGATATCTCAAAACATAAAAATCAATTCTAAGTGAAATGATATCTTATATTTACCAATACAATTCGCGACCTAACTGCTAATGATCGAAAATATATGGATACGGAACCAAAGTATGCGGCAGCCTTTTTTAGCCATTAAAGGAATTATACGTTAGATTGATTCAGTATCTTAAGTTACCTAGTTACTGTTGTGTCTGTGTATCAAATCATTAACAATTATTTGTTGGGCACACACCGAATTAAAGTCTCAGCTGTAAGCATGTGTCGTATTTTCGGTATTTCGTAATCGCTGTTTATTAGCCGTCCTCCTTCGGGGGTGTGAACCAACCTGTCGAAACGCAAAAACAATAATATTCCGCGAGTAAGTGCAAAAAGTGGGCGCAATCGCAAGATAGATTCTTACCATTTTTTTCATGTATTTGTACAAGAGATTTAAATGACTGTTGGGCACGTGCCAAACTGTATTGGCCTTGTCCTCCACACACTTTACCAGCACCGCCAGATCCCTGGAACTGTATACGTGCTTTCCCTTTCACTAATGTCGCGGAAATCTGCATTATAACAGCTTCCACCGTGTATGCCGAACTCCATCCCTGTTTCGTGAGTAGTTCCATACAAATGGCACCTCCCACAAGAACATAACCACCAGAAATGATGGGATGTACAACTCTTACAAATGGAGGTTCGAACGGATAAGTTTCCTGTAACAATAAACAAATATTCAGAACAACTATTTTTTTTAAATATCTATAAAAACTTAACATTGCAAACTAATATTCCATATATGTAAGTCTCACTATAAAGTATTAAACGTATACAAGTAACATACTTTAAAAAGCATGTTGAGAAGAATACTGTCTTTGCCCTCTTTCTCTTTCAGAAGGATGAGATCGCTATGAAGTGGTGAATCGGGATCTACACACATCAACCTAATATTCCATTCGTACAAACTGTCATTTACTAGTTCTATACTATACATTCCTGAAAAAAAAATAAAACAAATATTTCAACAAGTATAAGATATATATAAAATAGTTATTAAAATTTAAGTTTATTCTTTTTCTTTTTTTTTACAGGTGGAGGTTGGCATTTTATAGTAAAAGAGTACTAAAAAAAGGAGGATGTTAAAAACATGTTGACTTTTGCCCCACGAACAACATCTAAAAAAATCTATACTCTCTTGCACTTTTTGAATCTTTGAATTCGATTTTAATAGTACAAATTTATTGCGTCAGAAAAATCATTAAATTAGTATAAAATCATGTAATGTCAATTGTTTGTAAAAATAAATATAAAATAATTTTATTAAGTAAAAAAAACAAAGACAAAAAAAATTAATCATCTTTAAAACTATTACCTTTGCTAGCAAATGAATCATTATCAAAAAATCTATGATAAATATGCAGATGATTGATTCTCAGGAAAAAATCAAGCGTAACTAAGATACCAAATAACTATTGCATATCATTATGCACTCTTATGGGTACAAAATAGAATGTTGAATAATTGTTCTTATGTAGCAGTAGTTATTTCGTATTTTAATTATGCTCGATTACTTGACAAAAAAATGACCAATTTATTTTTGTAAATAATCGACATTAAATAATTTTATACTGATTTAACGATTTTCTCGATGAAATAGAAAATACTACCAAAGTCGAATTCAAAGAGCCAAAAGTTGCAAGAAAATATAGTTTTTTTAGACGCCGATCTGGGAACAAAAATCGACATGTTTCACCCTCCTTTCAAGTTTTTCAAAAAAACAATTTTTCATTAAAGGTATTAACAATGTTTATCAAAATTAAAATCTCAAATAACATTTAAGAAATATACCTTTTTTAAAGCTGTCACTTCGATATATATCACGTAGTTCTTTCATGAGTCTATCAGTGGCTTGCACACTCCCACAAACAGATCCTTTTAAATAGTCTTGTCTCTGATTTTGTCTCAACCTCTCCAATGTCGCAAGATGTTCTAAGTCCATCTCTTCACTCTATATTATTTAAAATTAAAATCATAGCAACAGTGACGATAAATAAATAAATAAACATACACATACACACACACAGGGTGTCTCGCATCGAGCGCACCATAATAGCACATTCCTGAAATCATTTTGAGGTAAAAATCCTAATATACCAAAATGTCGAGGCTATAATAGTTTTTATAAAAGTTAATTATCAATCAAGTCGGTCCAAATTCGCGCGCTCAAGCATGGCATATCGCACAGTAATAAAAGTATTTTTAAATATCAATCTGTTTTTATTTTTTATCGTACGTAAAATTGTATCTGTATTTAAAAACTGAACTGAATTTGGAGCAACTTGATTGATAAATTTTAAACGCTTTCCATTTAAAAACTGTTACAGCCGTGACATTTTAGTATTTTCATCTAATCAAAATAATCTTAGGAATATGCCATTACCATACTGTGTGCTCGATGCGAGACACCCTGTACAGTAATCCATAAGAATTTATTCTTCTTTACCTTACTCTTTGCATTAGCATCTCCTTCGTCCATATCCAAGTGAAGGTCCTCCTCAGTCTCGCTCTCTTCATCCTCATCAATATCATCTATATCTTCCGCGTCCATCCTTTGCGCGACAGCTTCATTTGGTCCTCCCAAACGCAAGGGGTCCAAAGCAGTTCTCAGTCTTTCAACATCCGGTGGTTCTGGTAACGAGTGTAGTCTGCATAATTCCTTCAAGAGAATTCCAACTTGATTGATTACATGGTTGTCGCGGCCAGTCGTGTTACTTAAAATTTGTACAGCATTTGTAACACTAGTCTCTTCGGATTCAGCAAACCAGACTGGTGGTGTTGAAGGATAGGTTTCCTACGTAAACATTATTAATGTTGATTGACAGCTTTGTGATTTGGGATTTAAAGGACAATAATTCACACACTAACGCACGCAACTCAATATACTAATTGAAATATTATAGCCAGAAATAAAGTAATCAAGCTTTGACATGCACACATTACTTTGACTACTTTTCATATAAACTCCTTATTCCCCAAGTCAAATTTTTAAACTGTTGGGAAATTAATGTTTTGAATTTAGGCTTATAGAAAATTCAAGATAAATGGGAATAACCCATCCAATTTTTACCTAACCCTTCAGAACACATTTCTGATGTAACTCCAAAATTTTCAAAGGTATATCATGTTAAGTCACATGAACGTAACTTTTCAGAAGAAGAATCTAGAGATTTTCCATTTTTTATATGCTCTCAGTGAAATACTTATAATATTTTGCAGATTTATTATATTCACAGATATATCAAACTTTGACATGTTTAAAAAAATAAAGTTGTGTAATTACGGAATTGATTTTATTTCAATGTGACTTAATACTGTTTATCTGGTGATTATGTCATCATATTGTGACTCAACTTTATACAGTCAATATCTCTATTTTCATTGAAAACATTTGCCATTGAATAAAAATTAAAGTATAAAGTCTTGCGATAACTCAATTTTGGAAAAAATGTGACTTAACATAATATACCTTTGAGGTATTCATATAAACTACACAATCACGAATGTATGTAATCCATCCAAACACCATCCACACGAACCGCCGTCATCTGTCACATAATCGGTAAATAATGGATTACAAAAAATGTTGAACCACGTTGTAGCCAGAGACAGTGAGTATAACAAAAGAATCGTATTCGATTGCAATACTCTTCTTATAACATAGCATACAAATACAGATCCCTCTCGTTGCGCTATTACATTGCAAAAAAAGAATTAAAAACTCGCGTTTGCTATTGCACTTCGCGATCAAATTGAATTGGATGTATGAAATCGCAAACAATTCAGCGCGTAAATATCGCATGACGCGACATGAGCAATGAACAAATCTTTACACGTCTTTTTTTCTTTCATCTTTATCTTCGCGTCGATAATGAAATAATTTTAGAAATTCGAAAATCAATAGCAGAAGGTAAAATAACAATAGATTTGCGTCTTCTGCAAAAGGATCTCGAAAGCATGTTTTACTGCGACAAGCATCGATCTTTGTCGCGCTATAATCAGCTAATGAGAAATATCGTGTTGCGGAAAACACAATGTTAGAAGGGGAAAAAAAAGAATTGATTACAACGGCGTCGAAAATGATCAAAAAAAAGAAATAAAAGCGCCTATTCGTCAGCTATAAGTTTTGACAAATTGTATCCAAGAGTGTTTAACCAAGCTACTGGAATAATTATTCCTTTGTCCATCTGAAAACCTAGCGAAAGAGTCTAATCCTTGGAATGAGTGAACGAACGAACGAATGAACGAACAAATGAACGAACAAACGAACGAATGAACAAACGAACGCATGCACGACGCATGCACGACGCACGCACGAACGCACGCACGCACGCACACTCGCGCCCGCGCCCTCACGTATACACACATACACAAGCTAGCGATGGTGTTAAAGCGACACTATTGTCATTCAACACGCGCACATACGACACTTACTGTAATATTGGCGTGTATTTCGTATTTCTTCCCATTTTTACCGACAAATCTGCAACTGAGCTCATCCACGCTCGCAGACATTATCTGAAACCTCTCATGGCTCTTGGGGAAGACGGATTCGAGCGTTTTGATTTCCTGCTTGAGAGTGTTCAGACAGGCCATTTGCGGGTGTGACGTACCGGGCGGAACTGCGCTTATCCGTATCTACCGGCAGTATCGTTCCGTCCGAAAGAAAAATACGGACAAAATACCCGAGTTAAGAGAGAGAGACACGACAATCCTTTTGACTACCCGACAAAATGGCGACTGCGACTTGAGCACTTCGGCCAGTCTCGTACGAGCTCGTTATACTTCGCCGACGATGGCGCCACCTCACTGTACTTCCTATTAAAATATTGCGGTGACGTACTTCCGTTGCGAATTGCGAGTGCAGCATATGGAAATTGCACATAATGTTACAATCGTAATGTATAAAAAAATTTTTTTTAATGTACTCTAACTTTTATTGCATTTATATTAATTTTTAATTAAATTAAAATTAATTAAAAATTTAATTAAATTGTGTTTGATGATAGATAACCATGCAGTTATTCTATTGAAAGAATCGAAATAGCTAAAAAGGAAAAAAAGTATAGAAAAGTACAGAAAAAGAGAGAAAAATTGAAGTTAAAAAAAAGACGCATAAAATGAAATGACAATGTCCGGCCATATATTAATAGTTATTATTTAATATTTATAAATATGTGTAAATAATTAACATTAAATTAACATATTAAAGAACCGCAGAATTAATATAAAAAAAACTTTAAAAAATTGAATTTGCATATAACAGAATTAAGAGTTGATGCAAAATATTCAATTACAATTAATTAGTATAATGATCTGAGATTATATTATGTCAGACAATTTAGATTGATCATTGTAACAATTTCATTAAAAGCAAATAATATTTTACAGCATTGAAAAGAATCAGTTTTAAAAATAATACTCTGAATTTCTCATTTAACAAATATTTTCTGCGTGTCCATATTACATTCAGATACAGGTACGTACATACATACAGGGTGTCCCATGGGAACTGAAAGCTGTCATTTTTAAACGCACATAGGGAACAAAAAAAATAAAATATTTTTTAACAAAGGACATTTTGCAGTTTTATTTACCTATAGACTAAAAATAATCGGAAATATTTTTATCATTAAATAAATGTTTATAAAAAATGCCAAATTTTGCTCATTTTAATGGTTTATATTTTCGAAGTCAGCGCACCGTCAGAATTATAACAAAAAAAAATTAAGTCACTTTTGGAAACTAAAAAACTTTATGCAACAAAAGTTACAGTTACATTTATGGTTTCCGAAATCGACTTAATTTTTGTTATAATTTTGACGATGTGCACGTCAAAAATATATACATTATTTTATAAACATTTATTTAATGATAAAAATATTGTTTCTAGTTTACGTAAATGAAACTGCAAAATGTCCTCTGTTAGAGGATATTTTATTTCTCTCGCTCCCTGTATGCGTTTAAAAATGACAGCTAATTAGTTTCAACACGGGACACTTTGTATATCCAACATTTTTTGCACACATTTAATTGACTATCAATTGATAATACTGGTAACACGAATTTCACAAGAAAACTAATTGGTGTCTTTAATGTATATTTTTACGCTGAATTTAAATTTACAATTAGATTTGTTTCATCATCCACAGTTTTTTTCTGTGATAACTATTTCTGATATTACAATTTCAGCGTTTTTAGTATTCTTTTTATACTAATTAATGGTCTTTATTTATTGTTGAATAACGTATGCATATTAAATACTCGTTGTTGTAACAACAGATATATAGTTCTCATTTATCAGTAAACAAAAACACTGTAAGGTGAAATTCATGTTCTGACTCGTCGAGATAACGTTACGCATTCATTGTGGAATCCCCCCCCCAATAATATGCTGATTGACTATCGTTGAACAAAGATGTTCCACGAGCGAAATATGTCAGAAAATCATCGACTGTATTTTTATTTAAACAAAGCAGCATACGCTGCTTGGTATTATTATTAAATTTTATCAAATTAAAACCATGCGTTGCTTAATAATTTTGCCTGATAGACATCACTTCAGCATAAAAAGTACACTGTCAGATTCATTCAAGTTCTTCTGACAAAAAAAAGTTTATTTTTGTTGACCAATTATTGTTTTAGACTTGTTTCTACTAACAAGTAGACTTTAATCTTTATCATGTATACAAAAAAAAGATAAGAAAAATATTATTTTAATGGGAAAAATTGTATTTTAGTAATGATCATCTTAAACCGGCTACTGGGACATTTATAGGCTTAAGAAACCCAATTTCTATTTGATTGTATCATGAATTTATTTGAAATATCTAATGTAATCCTATTTCTTATATTCTATATGTACAAACGATAGCAATAAGATATAATATACATGTTGTTTTAACAAATGTTAACAAATAAACATAAATATTAATCTATATTAAAAAGAATTATATTCTAAACGTTTTGGACTGGATCCATCTCTTGCGTTTTTTTTAAGAAGAATACAGCGCCTACAAGACGGTTACACAAACTAAAACAAAATATGTGCTCTTGTTAAGTTAATTAAAAAAAAATTCGTAAATATTGTTTTTTCTTATTTTTGCACTAAAAAGAATTACCCGTAAAATCAATATATACTGTTCTCTTTTTCCAAGTATATATATATTGTAGTCCTATGCGTCCTAAAATATAAATTTTGACAATTACTAAACAATTTTACTGACATTTATAAATGAGGTATAAAGCATATATAAAATTCATACGTACTACGTTTGACAGTAATCATAAATCTGCTGTACGTATATATATATAATACGTATATATATATATATATATATATATATATATATATATATATATATATATATATATATATATATATATATATATATATATATATATATATATATATATATATATATATATATATATATATATATAAAACATCAAATATTATAGTAATTAAATTAAATAATCAAAGCTCTATACCAATGAAATGAGATATAATCATCGTTCAAAGTTTTATTTATAACACGTAACTGTAAATTACTCTTCCATTCTTTGAATCTCTTCTACATTTGCTTGAATCGTCTATAACAATAAATGATACCAGTCCAGAGTCTCTCAGTAGCAATATAAGATCTTCCAAATTGTAATACGACAAAAACATAAATAATATCATATTCATTACGACAGAATGTCCAAACAATTTTTGCCTTGCGTGGAAAATTCACGTTCGACGTGAATCAGTCGTTATAATTATCCCTTTATATACACTTGTTTGTCATGTGTACTTTTTTTAGAGCTTTCTTACGCTAAAGTTAGTAAATGACGAAAGGAGCCGGTTGATAATAACTATTTAGTTCTCTATCTCACATCAGAGAAGAGACAAAATAGCATTTCATATTCTGTCCCGAAATGTAGAGCACATTATTATTGCGCCCTACGTTTATATTATTGTAAATAAAGATAAACTACTATTATCGAAGACTCAGTAATAATGTCGGTAATGTTTTAAATAATTTATTAAATCGAACAAAAGTTTGGCGAATTTATGGACCAACATGGAAGACTATCTCAGCGCGATTTTAAATATCAAATTTTCTTGTTTAAACGTTATCGCATTTTCTTGTTATACTTCACACATAAATGTTTTAACAGTTTACCTCGTAGGTTGTAGCTTGAACAATTTCAATTTTACTTATATAAATTCAACGTATCTATGAAATGGGTTGAGCGTGAAGCAGTCGCAAATATATGCAACTAAATCCGACTACTGCTTTGTGCAAATTCGCGTCGATCTTGTCCGTCTTTGTAGGATCACGTCTTTGTTTTTTTTGTCTAAAATTTCTATGAGATATTGCACTCGATAACATATTTAGAGATATGAAATCTTCTAATAAATATATTAAATTTCACGCATATTTTTTATATATTTTTTTCTTTACATTTATAGTTGGACCATCCAACCCCGGCAAATGTTCACGCTAACCCTCTCATGAGACACTTGTATCATCAACAAATGCTTGAAAATTATTAAATTTAGTTACATAATCATGTGTAACAAAATTCGAAAAATGTGCTGTTTTGAATCGTCTTGAAGCAAAAGTTTACAATGTGAGTAGGGAAGATGCAGCAGCAATGTTTGCAAAGTATTGCTCATAAATATATATGTATATATATATATATATATATATAGATGTGTGTGTATATATATCAAAATATAAACGCAGGAAGTATTTTCACCCTTTTTGTCAAGATATATTATTCGTTTCGCAATTTAGTCCATGAAATATTGCTTACTGCAATCTCTTTACATTAAATAGGCATTTGCTTCATTTTATCATTCCATTGATACGTCCACCATACTCTTGTACATAGTGCATCTGTTAAACGATTGAAATGAAAATTGTTTCATATTATATATATATATATATATGTGTACCACGCTTTTATTAAACAAATTTTATGAAAAAATATAAAAAACTCACATAAAGATCATCACAATTAATGAATGAATTAAACACTTTTAAATTAGCTTGCAGCTAGTTATCAGAATACATACTAGTAATAGCTAGGAACTTGAAGAAGCATTACTTCCATTTTTCGGTTTTTCTTTTATTGATATATATTTAATATGGAAAATAGGTTATCCATTCTGAATAACTCTATAGCAATGTCATGTCCCTTTATAAATTGGATAACGGCATTTTCTTTCTCCGACTTTTTTTTTTTTTAACAGAACTTTCTATTTCACATGCATAAAATATTGACGTGTAACAAAAAATAAAATGTGGAACCCGAAAGAATTTGTGTATTCACTCTTATAAAGAGGTAGAAATAAAGTAAACATATTTGTTGCACATGACTTGCGTGTGCGTGTGTAATGTCTATCGTGTTATTTATCGTCGCGCGCGCACGCGCGCGCACGCGCGTGTGTGTGTGTGTGTGTGTGTGCGCACGCGCGCGCGTGTGTGTGTGTGCACGCGTGTGTGTGTGTGTATGTGTGGAATGCCAAGATACATTTAACTTGAAAGTAAAAATTCTTGTGTTAGGTTTACTTTATCCTGTAACGATGTTGTATTCGTTAGATTGTAACAGCTCCGAGAAATGAATGAATTCTTTTACATAAAAGCAGATCTAAATTGTCAACTGTAACTCCTAAATTTGCACGCTTCAATTTTATTTACAGTCAATATTCTCTTTAATAAATACACTTTGGAGAAAGAAATAGCTCACATAGTGTCACTGTACACAAACTTGAATTATCAGTCGTGTGTATTTTTGTTGCGCGTTGCACACACGCGGTATATAATCTTTTCCTTTAAACACACTTATCTCTATCCCGAGAGCATCCCGTAACAGTGCGATGTTGCACCACACGCGAATCCAAGTGTTTATCGGCGCATTTAGAACGCCGAATGATAGTAATCGTAAGTAGGCCAGTAAGGCTGTAGCCAATCCTAGCTGGTGCGTTGGCGCTTTTTGGCGATGTGATCTTCTGACGAATGAACTGGGGATGGCATAACCATGTCTCCACTATTGAACATATATTTGAATTGTGGCATGAACTTTAGTACATTCCTAACTTGTATTAAAGGCAGCTCTTCAGTTAGCGAAGAACACTTGCCTGCTTCCATTAACATCTTCATTTGTAGTCTGGAAAGTAAATTTTTTTTCTCACAGGATTAGAATATTTCAAAATAGAAATATTCGGAATATTGCAGTGCCAAGCATTACTCGTCTATTTACCTATTTCCTTGATACAGGTCTATATGTAGAACATCTGTCAGGACTTGTCTACAATTCTCGATGTTGCAGGCGGGAAAGAAGCTGGAGACGAAATCGGGAAGCGTCATCAGCAACTCGGTATACATGTAAGGTTTCAGATTGATGCAGGGTACCATCTTCTCGTCAACCAGTGCCTTCTGAATTTGGTACGGTTGCACGTGACAAGACGACATTTGCGTATCTGGTATTGATATTAACGACTTCCTCCCTCGGGAATCTCTAAAAAGTAATTTGTGAATGTGAATGACATAGAATACTCTGAATTCATCGCTCGAAAGTGACTTCATTGCGATAAAAATTCCTATCATTTTTTCGTTTAATCCTCAAGATAATAATAAACTCGTAATATACATACCTGGAGCTGCTGCCGCCACCGCCGCTACCGCTACTACCGTTAACTGGTATTAAAGGAGGTGGATATTTCGTATGAGACGTATGAGACGTATTGTGTACAAATGGTGTGTGCCTTTGCGAATGTAATAAATTTGATGCCGGGGTAGGTGCTGGCATCAAAGCTTGGACTTGGTCTTGGACTTGACTTAAGCCAAGCATCTGTGGATATGTATTTGCTGTAACTGCATTAGGCACGCCTAATGTAGGTGTTGTATATGTAGTTGTCACCCTAAAATACAAAAATTATTACATTATATTTGACTATTTTACATATAATAATCATTTTCAATTTTTTAATACTATTTACTTATCACTTATCGTTCAAACTTCAAGTAATTTAATAAAGTGATATAAAAAATGTACTTATTACTTATGTATATTATTTACTTAAAAAAATAATTAATTGCACAATATATAACGTAATTATAACGTAAAGAACAAGGCAAAACTTGTACATAATTATATATTTATATACAAAATATCTACTCAAACTTTGAAAAAAAAAAAAAAAAAAAAAAAAAAAAAAAAAAAAAAA